TTGGGGATAAGTCGGAAGATCTTGGTGGCCAAGGTAACAATGTGACATCATTATGTTGAAAGAAGTCTATTGTGACTCTTGCAACATGTGATCGGGCATTATCTTGTTGGAAAGTTGGATCTGCCAGGGTGTCAAGATAGGGTAAAAGATGGGGTTCTAGAACTTCGTGGATATAACGTTGCGCGTTCATGTTACCTCTGATGAAGATTAAAGGTGACCTGGAACCATAAGCTATAGCACCCCAAACCATAACTCCAACAGTGTGATGAACATGTCTTTCAACAAAAAACTATGGATTCCTCCTTTCACCACGTCGCCTTCTAACCCTGGCACGACCATCGTGCATGCCTAAACAAAATCGAGACTCGTCACTAAAGACAGTACTGTTCCATTCCTGATCCCAGAGTGACCGTTGTCTGCACCACTCAAGGCGATTGCGTCGATGTTTTTTTTTTTTCATTTGTAATGGACCTGGTAGTGGAGAAACGGTCCCTTAAGGCCAATAATCTTATGCGGCGATCTTCACGGTCTGTTGTTCTACGGCGGCGTCCAGTGCCCCTTGCTCTTTGCGTACGGCCTTCTCGAAGCCATGCCTGACAACACCTAACTACAGTGTCTACACTTCTTTGCACTCTAACTGCAATTGCCCGAAAAGAAAGTCCAGCTTCCCGAAGTCCCTCCCACTATACGGCCCCTATCAAACTCACTAAGTTGACGAAATCGTACATGTCTCCGTACTCTAGGCATCGTAACCGATCGTAAAGGATGTCAAGAACCAAAATCCGCCAACGTTGATTCTTTACTGCGGCTGAAATATACATTTTTAGAGTGTTAGTGAATTAAAAAAAATCAGTATAAAAACCGGAATGTCCAACTGATAAGGCTGAAAATTTTTTCACTTGTTATTTACAGTAAGATAAATACATTCACCAACTTTTATTAAAATAAAAACATTTAAACTGGGTGTTCGGATTTATATGTCACTTAGTATACGTTGTGCGACAGCACAGTGTATGCTTTTTTATCATCGTGTGTATTGCTGGTAACAAGCACGTAGCGCTTCCACAATATTATTGCATTCTACGTGGACTCCTCGAACAGCCTGGCACGGGTATTACGTATCTTGAACAGTGACATTAGGTCGTTTTTTTTTTACTTTATTTTGTTTTTTTGTGACATTATGTAGGATTTCTACAAGATGTTAACTTAGCACTAGCCGACGGACACTTGTTGTAAACTCGTTTTGTAGATGTAAGTGTTGCCTAAACGTCATGATGACATTGCGAAAATGTTTGACATGTGATGCGTCATTCCCAATGTTTCTGTGATGCGTCTCAATTTCACACAACGCGGGCTTATTGCCGATTTTACGTGGTTTTTTCAAGCACAAAAAATGGGAAAAATTGTAATTTATAACTTTGTACATAACCTGTCGTCAAAAAGGACAACATATGAATAACCCGTCGGGCACAGCTAATAGATATACTTCATTGGCTGCATATTCAGTAATAATTTTCCCACATAGCAAATATCATTGATTTTATACACATGCAGACCACTACACATAATCATTCAGATGCGATCTTGTTAGACAACCAACTTTCTTTGTTTCACATCTCAGAGAAAAACACCACGGACTATTCGGCTTCACAAACCCTATACTTGCTTTGTGCAACCAGCAATCCGCGTAGGTGAGTCATACCTCCATAGATGGACAGTGATCATAGCGAGTAAAGGTGGAATGAACTATTTGCACCCTAAAAGGTACCTAGTCTGCAAGATGACATTTTATTGTTTTTTTTTTTTTTGACGTTTTGTAGGTTTTTTAAATAATTGAGGTGCGGCACACAATTGGAGAAAGCTCGTTTGTATTTGACTCACCTACACAATTGAATGACAAGTGAATGTAACGACTATAAGCAAAACATCAACTGAGGTTACATAGATAATGGAAGTCCGACGTACTATTTTTAAAACGATTAATTAATAATTTGCGTGACGCATGCTGTAATACCAGCGATAGTTTTGATATTAACATCCACCACCGATTATATCGCAGCGGCTGTATGAATGTCTAATGTACATCCGCATTGTTAATACAGCTGACGTGTGCACCATAATTCATGACGGAACATTATAATATGTGGGGTGGTCACTTGGGAGCTGGGGTAGTAATGGAGTTGTATCATGTACTGCACTGCATGTGTAGTGATTGAACTGATTAAATAACATAAAAAAATAGTAGCGCACCTCGTCTGAGACCATAGTATGGTTTCCGGCACCAACGATCAACGGGAGCAATGAGGAGAAGCTCACGTCGTTGGTCTTGATAGCACGAAAAACTTTAGATCAGTTGTGGTATGCGCTCCTCTTATGCAGATTTCTGTCCTGTGGCCCTCTACCCTGATCAAGACATATAAAAGTTTAAGTTGTACCAATATGTATAGTATATTTTAGTTAAAACTATTATAAACTTTGTGTATGTAAACACTTTTAATTGTTGCTCCCGTGCACAAGGACTGCATTGCTGTTTTCTTCGCTACAATTCGACTGATTTCAAAAATTCAAAATAATTTGCATCTAGAACATATCTGATTAGTGATTTATAATGCCATCTAATATCCAGGAATATTTAGGTGTACATGTCTACTTATGATTCGGAATTCAATGTAATTTAATCTTGTACAAGGAACGCTCGACCGCTGATGAACGGACAGTAATATCAAGGAGTTGTCCTTGACGACGATATCGCGTGTCTTTAAAGAATCTGAAACCTTTTCATAATGGATAAAATTAATGGAACAGAATTCGTTCTTTTCCCCGCCAGGCCTTTCATGTCGTACATTTTTTCTACTCGGCTTTCTTGTCGTTGACTTATTTTGTAGCACGAGATGATATTTACAATAATTACTTTATTGGCGGGTATTGCTTAATGAGTGCGATTAATTCTTAACGTAGCTTTGGCCATGCCACATAGCCAGTAATTTAGACGAGAAACATGAACACTTGTTCGGAAATTCCCATGCGGGATGAATCCAGTTGAAGCAGTATGGTTAATTTGGACTGATTCAATATTCTGTCCGAGATTCGGCATTGCACCGAATATTCGAGTATCTACTTTGATCATTGACTTCTAGTAATAATTGCGCATTTGGCTTAATTCAGTGGTCGTGCTGGGGAGCTTGTGACACTTTTCATGAGAGTGCTACTTTAATATTACCCAAAATTAGTTTGCATAAGATACATTTATGTTAAGTGTTATTGGAATGAGGAAAACTAGAGTACTTTGGTACTTCAGCTAAAGGTGGCTATATCCACTAACAAAAAAAAATCAGATTGCTTTTAACGACAAAAGCAGTCAGTTACTGAATAATATTATAGTGCAATTACATTTTATACGTGATTAAAATCTGTTCCTAGTGAAGTTGCTGAAGTTGAAATTGATTCGATTATTGAAACATTGCAAAATACTGTCATACCGGTATAAACACTTTTTAATTGTTTGCGTATATTTTCTATCTAGCGTTTTAATTGGACAATGTCCGCAGTGCTTGATAGCTATCAAACGAGTATTTTGTTAACATACGTATAGCTTCCACAAAAAAATTTCGACAGCTGAGCTTACCTTCTTCACTCATCTGAAAAAAGTTACTAATTTCCAATCATATCCCAATGTTAAAGTGAACTCGAAACACCCACTATATAAAGAAATAATTCCGACTAGGAGAGGATATTCAACTTGAACAAAACGTGATTAATCCTTAGTCCATACTTGAATTCATATAGGAGCAACCGCTTTGGACAAGCATTTAGTTGCCAAATTCGAATTCCTAAAATATGATGGATCGTAATTCCCACGTATTCACGTAACCCAAATGTAGATTTAATCTCCATGAATACAATCGGTAAATAGGAATTTGTTCTTGGCACGCAATGCTGTGCCACGGTAAAACGTGTTAGGGCATTCGCGCAGTCTGGTATGTTTATTTTTGAAACGTGCAGGAATAAGATATTGTTGAAACTTGTTTGTTTCCTTTTGTGTTATGCAAAACACGCCCAGGTACGTTGTTAACCGATATTCCTGATACAAAGCGCCATCGGTGAGGGAACTTCAATAATTTGTTGCTGGCACACATCGACCTTGTTTGCACCGAGGCTAGCCAAGCGCTTATACTGAGTGACAAAAAACCTACGTATGTTTATTAGAATTCAAGAATTTTTTACTTATCGATTTATATTGGTGCTCTGTGGTCATCCAAGCACTTAGAAACGCACATGGTAATTGTGTCTCCTACAGAAAACTGTCCCCCTGGTGCCTAGCGCAATGTGAAAAATTACGAGAATTTAATTTTGGGTAAAATGCATTGAGACAGCCATCTGAAGAAATCTTCTTGTTTTACTGTTCCCGATATGAAACCACACACGTTGGAAAATGCAACGCTTACTAACGTTTCGGCAACCTCGATAGCCATAGAGTCAACCACAGGGTAAGTTTCAAGTCAAAACCATCTTCAGGTTCAGCTACACACGAGCAATACATTTGGCTTACCTGTGTCTAATCAACACTTATAATTGGTTACTAAGAAATATCGAGTGAACAAAAAATTGTTTTTGCCTCTCAAGATCCTCCTCTGCTGCTATCCCTCATTACGCATTCATCAGAACACCCTTTTTGGCAACCGTCTCTTTTCTGCAGAACTAACGCTAATAGGAATATCCACTTAGCGTCACGTCTGTCACTCAAACGAACAACACTTCTTTCCTCGCAAAGACAAGGGGTATCATTATGAAAAACTTGCCTCCCCTAGCTGAATGCTTATATTGCAGCGCTGCCAAGTTTAGACCTTTAGACCATTCGACCTGTTGAATTTTCTTATTTTATAAACCCAAGTGAGAACCTACTTTACTTTATTTGATTATCGATTTTTAAAATGATTGCTTTAAGGATGTCTGCCTTTTATTTTTACGACACCAAGTAATGCTAAATCTGGATTGTTCAGGAACCCGAAGTGAGAGGTATAATTCGTGGACAACTGCACCATCTTTGATCTTGAGAGGCAATACAGAAACTGGATCAGACAGCAACCGCGAAACAAGTGAGTAAATAATAAATATAGATTCGCACATCCAAACGCGTGGTAAACCTCTCCAAGTGTCACAATTTCAAATGTGTGGATAAAGCGCTTGGATGGTCTACTATCTATCACACGACGGAGTGTTGGTTTTTGATGATAATAAACCATAATATTAATGTTTATTTCTCTTTAGAATATACACTATACTCAATAAAAATTAAATCGGGACAAATAAATGAAAAACTCTCTTGGGCGCGGGTAAAAAAATAGAAAATACTCTTATACGAACGACATCACAACACGATATGGTTTTGAAATGTGAAAGGCTTTCGCGGCCATCATCCAATGTTACGAGAGATGTCTTTTAAGTTTTGCATATAGAAACATAGTAGGCCGCGCGGATCGAACGTCAGTACTGAATCTTAACCTCTCACTCTTTAGTAAACTTAAATTCAAAGTTTCACAATAATATGTGCAGTGTTCTCACTACAGTGAATTTTTAAGTGTCACCAAGTCATTAGAAAAATGGAACTCAACCGAGACCATTTTCGCGCCCTAATTTATTACAACTTTCAGAGACAATTATAGCAACAAGAATGCCTTGTTGAGTTACTGTCTGTTTTCGGCAACGACCTCAAATCAAAAAAGTTTACATGAAGAATTAGGAGTAAGAAAATTAGTTTCTCGTTGGATACCCCACCTGTTGACTAAAGAGCAGAAAGCAGCCAGGCTCAAAAAACGCTTGACCGTTTCAATTCCGTAAGCTCAAAAGATGTGTACGGCATTTTTAGTGGTGATGAATCGTGGATTTACTGTTATGAGCCAGAAAATAAACGACAGTCGGCTGTTTGGGTGTTCCAAGGTGAAGAAAAGCCAACAAAAGTCATCCGTTCTCGAAGTGTTTCGAAAAAGGTGGTCGCGACATTTGTGTCAAAAGCGGGTCATATTGCAACAATTCCTATTAGTGAGCAAAGAACTGTTACTGCGGATTAGTATACCATTTGTTTGCCAAAAGTCATCACCAAGCTTCTAAAAATCAACCCCGAAAGAAGATTCATCCTCCACCAAGACCATGCAAGCTCGCATACAGCCCAAAAAACAAGGCAGTATTTAACGGAAGAAAACATGGAATTATTGGACCATCCTCCATATAGTCCCGGTCTAAGTCCTAACGATTTCTTTACTTTCCCGAAAATTAACAACAGACTGGTCAAAGGTTCCAGTCACCAGAAGAAGCAGTTGACGCATTCAAAAATGCTGTTTTGGATCTGCCAGCAAACGAGTGGAATAAGTTCTTCGAAAATTGGTTCGAGTCCTTGCACATGTATATTAATCTTCGTGGAGAATACTTCGAAAAACAATAGAGTCATCTAAAACTACCTACCGTGTTCTTTTACTTCCATATGCAAAACTTAAAACGTATTTGGTTGGTTTTTGGGTACTCAGGCCGTCGTAAAATGTTCCATATGCTATATTTTACGACGGCCAAATCAACCAAACAACACGATTTAGTAGTAATAATAATAAAAATAATAATTTTTATTTGTAAAATACAATTATTTTCGTTAAAACAAATAAAGTACCCGCTGAAGGCAGTTGCCTGTGCGCGGGTATTTACCCATACGAATCATTGCCATTACAGCACATACTGATATATTTTGTTATATTCTTAATTATTATTGAATAAATGATTATATCACATAATTACACAAATGTATCATATAATATATATATAATAAACTGAAACCTTATAAATTTCTACAGTTCTAGAAGTAGGTAAGTTTTTGTTGAGAAAATCTGAATATACATTAATTTATTATTTCATTCATGATATACGATTGTTCTTGTCTTTATTCTAATGTAACAAATGCTGCATCTGAATTTGGGTGAAATAGCATATTTGGGAATTTTTTCCAGTCTGTTTTTTTTGGTTACTCTAGTATCTCTAGTGTCTCAGTTCGGTTGACAGCTACATATTTGGGTGGTTTGTCTAGTTTTTTCTTGTTAACTTCGGCATTTCAATTATTTTTTAGGTCAATCATTTGGTGTGTATGAGGCCTTAGGAAAGTCATTATCCATTGTTTTACTATCTTTTTGAATAGCTCAAGTGAGTTTATTTGTTGTAAATCTTCAGGGAGCATATTTTAACACCTAGGCCCCAGAAAGCCTTTGTATGACATCTTTTCCTGGTTTTGGGACTTATACATATTTTTTTCCGAGTTTCATAATTATGGTCCGCTTCTCTCATGTTGTTTCTGCCAGTAAGAGCATCTACCTGTATCTGGTATATGTATAGTTGATGAGGACCAAAAATAGTTGCTTCTTGGAACCATTACTCTGTTAGATATAGGTTCCAAACATATTTTTTTATTGGCAACAATACCGTGACTGAGATGACTTTGAGCTAGGCCATAATAATAGATCTGTGGATTATCCAACAATTCTCTGAGGTATCTGATATTATATACTACTGTGCCTGACTTTCCTATCTGAGATGGGCGTCAATATGCGTTCCGAGATACTTTGCACCCATTGCACAATATACATTGTTATACTTAAAGCTTTGTAAGAAGGCAGGTTCTTGGTGTGTGGTTGGACAGAAGGGGATAATATCAGATGAAAGAGGTTTGCGGCCAAGCATTTGCAAACCGAATTTTTGAGTCAGTAGTAGACCGATGTAAGCTATTTGATGTGATGGAAGTACTGCGTGGCATAAGGAAAACAATATCTGATGCAAGGATATACCTGAAGTCAGTCATAAATGTCGCTACCAGGAGGTTGTTAATAAAAAGTTGCATTAGACTATTGAATCAGCAGAGTAAGCACAACAACTTCTCGCTGAAATATTGCATGTATAGCATTTCATGTAGATGCTTAGTAAGCATCTCAATAGTATACTGAGTGACAAAAAAAGGTAAACACCTGCGTATGCTTTTCCGATTTTAATAATTTTTGGCATATATGTAAAATGATTAAATCTTCAGATTGACTCGTCAACTGACTGCAGAAGCTGGTTCAATAATGTGTTGAGGATCCACGATTTCTTATACACTCATTTACATGCCTGGGTATCATGCTGATAAGGTGGACATATCCTGTTGGGGTATCTCATTCCAGGCTTCTCCAACTTCGTAAGTAAGAGCTGTTAAAGTCTGTGGAGGGTATTGCAAAGTCAAGAGCTTGCAACCTATGATGTCCCAGACATGTTCAATTGTAGATGGGTCAGGCTATCGTGGTGGCCAAGGTGAACGGTTAATGCGATGTTGATCCATGAAGGCTAATGATGCTCTGGCAACATGTGGCCTGGCATTGTCTTGCTTTTGGGTGGTGTTTAGGTATGGAATAAGATGAGGCTCCCCTACTTCCTGAATATAGCGTCGGGCTATCATATTGTCTCTTATGAAAAGTGGTGATCTGCTACCATAAGCAATAGCACCCCATACCATAACTCCCACGGTTACGCCGATGTTGAGCAGTGAGGGGTAGCACCCAATGTGGGCGATAAGAAAAAGGACCAAGCTGTTGTATTCGGGGATATACCATACGCATCCTCTTCAGGCCACTGATTAGTGATGGCTCGAGTACTACTGAATATGTCTCTCAGAGGTCTTAACCGGCGGTCTTGTCGCTCTGTCGTCCCTCTGGAGTGTCCAGAGCCCCTCGCTCGCTGTCCTCGGCCTTGCTGAGTCCACTCTCGCTCACACTGCAGTATACTGTTGGCCCTCCTAGAAACTTCTCTTATCGATAGACCGGATTCACGCAACCTGACAATTCGACCCCTTTCAAAGTCACTTAACTGGGATACCCGGCGAATTCTATACACTCTAGGCATTTTGAGCAATCCCAAAATAGCTTGTCAATAAGCCACACAAAATGTAACATTCAACTGACCGTAGATGTACGAAAACTGCTTCTTTATCACCAAAAAATACACGCAGCCACCACAAAAACTTAGCAGAAAAACCTGACCATTTTATCACTTGTTGTTCATGGCAAGATAAATCGATATGTAAAAAATTCTTGAATTCTAATAAACATATGTAGATGTTTACCTTTTTTGTCACTTAGTGTATAAATAACCATCATGTACACATCCCGGTGTTCTATATCCGGTTCAACTTCGTTCGTTTTAACGGAATGAAGCTATGATACTTTGAAAGGTTATTTCTGAATCAATTCATTCAAGATACTTCATTTTGCAGGACATGCTGACGCACCTGCAAACTGTGGATGGCTCCTGGTGTACAAGCATTTTTGGAACCCTCGCCTTCGCGAGTGGCCGTCACGCTGACGTCACGACTGCCGAGAAGCAACGCCGCCGCAGCGAAGGACTTCTCCGCTGACCGTCGAGCAAGACACACATATATACTAAGTGACATATAAATCCGAACACCCAGTTTAAATGGTTTTATTTTAATAAAATTTTGTATAAGTACTTAATGAAGCATAATAAGTAAATGATAAAAATTTCAAAATGATTGCACTGCTTTAAAGCCCATTGACCTTTAATAATGTGTGGATGCACCCTGATGTGCTACGCATTCTCCAACGCGCCTAGGCATGCTTCTGATCAGGTGGTCAATGTCCTCCTGTGGTATCTCATTCCAGGCAACCACCAACTCCTCTCGAAGTGCTTCTAGAGTCTGAGGAGGACGTTGCAAATTGAGCAATCTCCTACCCATCATATCCCACACGTGCTCAATTGGGGATAAGTCGGGAGATCTTGGTGGCCATGGTAACAATGTGACATCGTTATGCTGAAAGAAGTCTATTGTGGCTCTTGCAGCATGTGGTCGGGCATTATCTTGTTGGAAAGTTGGATCTGCCAGGGTGTCAAGATAGGGTAAAAGATGGGGTTCTAGAACTTCGTGGATATAACGCTGTGCGTTCATGTTACCTCTGATGAAGATTAAAGGTGACCTGGAACCATAAGCTATAGCACCCCAAACCATAACTCCAACTGTGTGATGAACATGTCTTTCAACAAAAAACTGAGGATTCCTCCTTTCACCACGTCGCCTTCTAACCCTGGCACGACCATCGTGCATGCCTAAACAAAATCGAGACTCGTCACAAAAGACAATACTGTTCCATTCCTGATCCCAGAGTGACCGTTGTCTGCACCACTCAAGGCGATTACGTCGGTGTTCTCGAGTTAAAGGGAGGTCCCAGTGTGGCCGGTATGAAAACAAGCCAAAACTTCTCATTCGTCGGTCAACACTTTGCATGCCAATATATCTTCCGTGTTCTGCAAACCATTCATTTGCAATGGAACTGGTAGTGGAGAAACGGTCCCTTAAGGCCAATAATCTTAGGCGGCGATCTTCACGGTCTGTTGTTCTACGGCGGCGTCCAGTGCCCCTTGCTCTTTGCGTACGGCCTTCTCGAAGCCATGCCTGACAACACCTAACCACAGTGTCTACACTTCTTTGCGCTCTAACTGCAATTGCCCGAAAAGAAAGTCCAGCTTCCCGAAGTCCCACTATACGGCCCTTATCAAACTCATTAAGTTGACGAAATCGTACAGGTCTCCGTACTCTAGGCATCGTAACCGATCGTAAAGGATGTCAAGAACCAAAATCCGCCAACGTTGATTCTTTACTGCGGCTGAAATATTCATTTCTAGAGCGTTAGTGAATTAAAAAAAAAGCAGTATAAAAACCGGAATGTCCAACTGATAAGGCTGAAAATTTTTTCACTTGTTATTTACAGTAAGATATTCACCAACTTTTATAAAATAAAACCATTTAAACTGGGTGTTCGGATTTATATGTCACTTAGTATATTTGTAACCATATCAATACAATGTAGATACAGTCCACTTACGAAAAATGAATGGTACCAAAAAAAAAATAGGGTCTCCTTAGAAGACTAGTGGCTTGGAATTTGCAGCTAACAACAAGCGTGGATTCGACACAAGGATTAGTGCAGCTGGTATCTGCCAAAAAGATAATACAGTAATAATAAGCCCGCTTCTTAGAGTGGCTGCTTTAATAAAGCTCTCTCTAAATGCCGTATCTACCTCATCCACTTCTGTAAGAGTTTTTGTGCATTGTGCGAAATAGAGCGCAGTTACAATGAATACGTAAGCATTTAAATAGCCTGCTAGCCCTTTCTTTTATTACTAATGGATTCTGCATGAAGATTATTTGTTATGCACCAAGCATATTTCTGTGTAAGCGGAGGTACCATAAGGAATAGCAATTGCTGAAGAGCCCTGCTTGGTATATAGGTTTACAGATGTTACAAAGTCTCAGGAAATAATTATGTGGGCCTTAAGACATGACGCTAGCAATGGTAGTAGTGGCGTGGAGGTTAAGGCTAGCAACTAGATCACTTATGACCTTTTGACCTCTCTGTATCGATACTGTACTGTTGATACCATCCACACTACTGAATATACCCGCTCCAGCGATTCGATGTAACGGTTTTTACACCTGTTGATCTTGCATATGGTATATGCTATATACTTTTCATGGCCAAGCTTTTCACCTAGAAACATAATATTATACCCTATTCGTAGTCCATTTACGCCCCGGCACAACAAAGGTGCGGAGCGGCAAAGCGGCAGCCGTCTAAGCGTTGCAATAGGTATTGGTCATTTGGCCATAAAACTACGAACAGGATAACACTCTGGCTCGGGGTATCGCCGGCAGTTGCTGTTCATATTCAGTGCAAACATAGCTTGTGTTTGTACGTTAGCAAGTTGTCTGCTTCCTTCTGCCATGCTTCCTCTTCAATTATGTCTCCTACCCGAAAACGTGACAAGACATTTGAATATTTAGGCAAAAGAAATTGCCCTTAACGTTTATAAGAGAGGAATTTTAGTACATCCTGAAATTAAAATTCATGATATTGAAAGACGTGTAGCGAACAAAACAGGCTTATGTCCTAAGACAGTTTTCAATATTGTTAAAGAATATATAAAAAGCAAAAAATTGTCTTCGCCACACAAGAGGCTGCATTACACGAAGCTGTTAGATTTAGTTCATAACGCAAAGTCCATCAATTTTTTGCAAGGCAGGAACCTCTCATCATAGACAAACTATTACAGGAGGTTAATAGTGGTGAAGACTTACCTACTTTCAAAAAGAACGCATTCTATAGTTTACTCAAAGAACATCATTTTCAGTATAGAAAACGGGGGCAAATAGTATTTTGATGGACAGCCAACATATTATTTTATGGAGAAGAAATTATTTAAAATCAATAAAGAAATACCGCGACCAGGAAAAGAAAAGCGATTTCTTATCTGTCACATTGGCAGTGAATATGGCTTTGTGCCCACTGTCCTATCGGCATTTGCGTCGAAGAAAACGACCGATTGCCATGAAGAAATCGACGGGAGTTCATTTGAACGATGGTTTCAAGAAACGCTCCCAAAGCTTGACGACAATGCTTTCTTTGTACTTCATAATGCTGCATACCACACTGATGAACTAGAAAAAATTCCCACTATGTCCACACTAGTTTCAATGAAAATATGAGCAAAGCACAACTTATCAATCTAGTCAGGCAGCATAAATATAAATATAATCTTATCACTGCGAATTAAATCCCGTTGAAATGATTTGGGCAAATATAAAATCTATGTGGCTTCAAACAACAGAAGATTCAAATTTTCTGACGTGAAAAGTTTGTTTTATGAATCTGTCAACAGAGTGACGGCAAACCATTGGAAAGATTGCATCCGTCACGTTCAAGAGACAATTGACACAATATGTGAGATCTGGACAATATGATCGATATTGAAATTGAACCCGTAATAATTAATATTAACCATTCGGATGATGATTCAAGTACATCCAGTGAATACAGGATTGTGAAAAGTATGTGCACTTCTTTCTATAAAAATAATCATTTAGATTATTCCAAGACCATTGAGGAAAATGCGGACCTGTACAATCTCGCTTTTGGGCATGTCGTATTTAGTCTAGACTACGAATGGAATATAGTATAAGTATCGTTTGCCTTCAATCATACCGAAGCACCCATAGGGAGTCCAGATTATTTTACCTGCCGTACGTAAAAGTGGTATCGAGTAGCATTCCTGAAATTCAGAATAAGAGGCATTGGCCAACAACAAGATTTAAACCGCCCATCTTCTGTTTGCTACACTCTATAAGCCACGTCTCTTATTTGTTTTAAGCGTCAACGTTGGATACGATACACTACCCTCATTTTTAAAACATATGTAGATACAGTCTTAACAATACTTCTAACCATGCTATACATATATATGTCCTGTGCGGAAAATTACAGCTTCGCTAAGCGTTCCAGAACCCAGTTATTTATGGTTCATCTTCCCCAGATGGAGTGTGAAATTAAAGTTTACCACTGAATCTGTTCATATTATCCGGAGCCATTAGTCCATTAAATGGTAATGTTGTGTATATTCAAACGTAGAGAGTAATAACTAAACGAAATTCCCTGGAAAACGACCTAATCCGACTAAAAGCCTTTCGGTCTTTCAACTGCCGAGGATCTTTTTACCACAACAGTAAAACGTCGATGGATGTTTTATACCGAGGTACGGTTGCCTCCATCAAATTCCATCGGTTACAACGTACTTACAATCATACATTATACAGTACACCGTTGTGCAGAAGTGTTGAAACGAACAGGGTATAATTACCATAGCTATATGCAGAGGTCAAGACATCTGAAAATTTTGCTAAAATATCAAAGATATATTAGTGTACTGGAAAACGAAATTCAAGAAAAGCTGAACGTGAAATATCACGTTATAGAACAGAAAAAAATCCTTCCTAGAGTCAAGAACGCTGGGTACAGAAGTGAAGATCCCCCTAGTGCAACAGATGTTAAGGAGAGTATAGTTAGGCAGAATATTTTTATTTATAAAGATGATATTAATGTCACCTATATTTGAAGGAATCATATAAACAATTCTTACACGATTTTTGGAGAAGTAAATGGAAAAGCTTATAAGCACATTATAGATGAAAATGATGGCAAACTTTCCTAGACTGGCAAAATTTAAATGCTTTCCGTAATAACCAGATTTCACAATGTAATAATTTTTTCCGCTTCCACCACATATCAAAGAAAAAAAATGTAGAAATAGAGTAGTCTCTCTTAGATGCGAAGACGAAACTTTGTCATTTTATGGTTATAAATGCTCAAATTGTATATATTCTAACAATACACACAACAAAAATTACGTGATCAAACGAATTTGATTCGATCTTAATTAGGTGAAGTCCTCGTCGAAGTAAATAGAATAGAAAATGTAACTCCTTGTTCTCGTGGGTTTGGCCAGATACGAGCATACTACATTATCTATTCTATTTTCTACAAGAGGAACATAATTATACTATAAATAATAAGCCTAGAAATACAACAGATACAACAAGCCCATTTTATAAATATATTATGCAATTCGATCACCTTTCTTCAATAGACTTCTTCAATTGGAACAAAATATT